CGATTTTCCGTGCATAACATATGTGAAGATAGAGTAAAGCCTTCTCTACAAAATGCTGAAAATCCGAACTCTCTATTTCTTCTCGCTCTCGAGTTATTCAAAAAACATTCATGGTAGCTGTATACAGAAATCCATAGTAGAAACCCCGTTTACCTAAAGCCGAGTATAAATAACTGCTTATCGATAACATTTTGAAAAGCCAAATATAGGGATTTGTAGCGCTCGGAAATCTCTCCCGAATGATGCATTACTTTACCGTTTCCAATAAGCTGTTAATTTACAAATAAAAGTCTAAGGCACCAGAGTGATATTAATTAGTAGTCATTAACATTGATTAATTATAAAAAGGTAGGACCTTAACACTGTTTTTAATTAAATTTTAAACTTAATTAATTAATAACTCTGTGAATAATTATCAGTTCATCGAAAAAACTGAATGATATATGTTAATCAGGTGTCCTCTTCAAACTGATATAATTTGAGGGCACATATAGAGGGAGGGGATGGATCTCCCCCTTAAATCATATTTGAATTTCTTCTTCTGACTCTTAGAAAAGCATGTGTGAATTTATTTTCTACACGAGTATGTTCCTTTCGTATAGGGCCCGTTGTTTGGTATCAAAAGATCGAGTACGCTGTCCAGCATTGGCTGTCAAAAGCATTCGAAAACACCTTTGGATGTGTGTTATGCACACCTGGATGTTTTTCTTTATTTCGAGCATCAGCGTTATTAGATGATAATGTCTTAAAGGTAAATAATATAACTGATATATTAAATCTACAAATAATCAATCATTTTGTCAAACTGTTTTAGACCTATTCTAGGACAGCAGAGGAAGCTGCAGAAATGGTACAATATGATCAAGGTAGAATCTAGACATTTCTATTTCCTATTCATTTCTATAGAAGAATAGTACATCTATCGTCCATCTGTTTTTCTTTCACCATCTTCGACTTGAATTGGACCTTACTACACACGCTGTTCTCAAGATTGCTTTTTCGTAACATTTTTCTCAACTAAATTGAGAATATATACGTCAAACACCAAAATAGTTTAGTAGTTGAATCTTCTTTTCTGTGACTAAAACATGATTGTGAAACAAATTTAGTCTACTTACGAGGTAACCTCTTCAGGTGTTCAACGCCGATTTCAATGATCTTTTGCCGATAGATACTGTATAGTGTCCTAGTAAAAAGAACAAAAGGATTTAGGCATCTATTGCTTCCTGCGCAAGTTATGGATTTTTTTTGAGGTTTTCCTTCAAAGCCTTCAAAGACTCAATATATTTTAGTTTCATAAAGTTTTCTTTCCTTTCCTATATAATCAAAAGCTTTTCTTGTACGTAGTCTGATAGAAGAAAGTCTTCTCCAAAACGAGATGTCTTCCAGACGTTTCTGATGAGTTTTCGTGAAGATATGAGCACTTCGGCAAATGCTCTGAAAAAAGTGAACTATGTACAAAATGCGTTTTTAAAAAAACAAAAGAACACATTTTGCATTTCACTTTTCTATGAAATGGAATGTTATATTGTAAAAAAATCTTGTGTGAATCAATGCTGCACAAAATGCGGACTTTTACCATATATTGTTGATTTTCATAGTATATACTGCTCAAGGATTTTTTCTAGTGTAGAACTTGATTTTCGAAATCATTTCACAATTTTTCTATCGTATTGCTATAGTAATTCTAGTTTTATAATTATAATAATATTTCAGGCGAAGATCGTTGGCTCTGTACATTACTTTTACTATGTCGATCTGGCTATAATGTTGACTATTGTGCCAATGCAGATGCAGCTGCTAACTCGCCTGATACATTTACTGAATTTTTAAATCAACGTCGACGTTGGATTCCATCATCATTAATCAATCACTTTGATTTTGTTAAAAACGGACAAAATATTACAAAACATAATAAAAATTTATCAATTTGGTATATAATTATGCAAGGAATAATATTTATTAGTAATGTTACCGGACCGGCCTTTATTATTATCTACATGCCTAGTGCATTAACATTTAGTGGTATTAGTTTAAGTACAGCCTATGTAATCATTATTATTCCTACTGCTTTACATCTTGCAATTTGTTTAACTTGCACAAAAGACGTTCAAATACGTGCAACAGCCATATGCTCTCTAATAGTAGCATTACTTTTTACAATGGGTCTAGCGACAAGCATATTTGCCATATTATATGAATCCAGTAATTATGCAAATTATTTTATTGTATTTATAACAGCAGTGACATTTCTTGCCGGTTTATTACATCCGTTGGAAGCAGGAAATTTATTTTATCTCATACTTTACATCGTTGGTACGCCAGTAATGTTTCTGTTGTTTTACAATTATGCTATTTGTAATATTAATGATGTGGGTTGGGGTACTAGAGAACAGAAGAAAGATAATAATAAAAAGTCAAAAAAATCATATTTTGCACGCTTCAAACATATAATAAGTTTGTGGATGGACAAATGGTTAAATGACATGGAATTACGTTTGAAGCCAGGTAATTGTTTAAATTATAAGGTGCCGCTAATTCAAAATTACAGCGAGAATATCTTTTCGCTTTTGTGGTATGGTTGCATAGAGCTCATCGAATTACATCGGAAGAACACAATCCCCCATTTTAAGAAGTCATTTTTTGGTGAAAAAATTAAAAGATACCCGTTTTTCGAAAATAAGGAAATTTTTGATACTTATTGTTTTTCTAAAATTCCAAACTTACTTTTTTCTCATTCACTATCGAAAACTGAGTATGAAAAACTGAGTTCCAAAATTTTAAAATTGAAACTTACTGCCAAATCCACGCAACAGGAGCAGAATCATAAAAACCCTACTGCCAAATTTGCAAGCGTAACTAGTTTTTTCCATTGAACGACTAAACATTAATTAATTGTTATTTCCTTCTAATCAGTATACTTATAGGAAAAAAAGTATGCGACGCTTTTTTAGAAATATTTAGTCGTTTTCGAGAAAAGTCAAAATTTTCTAAATCAAAGGAAAAGTTGGAATTGTACTCGTAATTCTGAATTTTCTCCATCAGAACTCAGCTTTTGAGCAATAAACATAGCATATTTAGAACCAGGATCAAAAGCTGAGACAAATGAAGTGTATTTTAAAGTTTTTAGTTGATTTTCAATTTCAATTCAATCTCGGTAGTTTTTCAAAGTGAAAATTCAAAAAAAAATAAAGTAGTCAGATAGGATAGAAATGCACATCATCCAACTGAGTTTTGCTCCTGGTTCGAAATATGCTATGTTTATTGCTCAAAATTTTGGAATTCAGTTTTTTATACTCAACTTTCGATAAAGAATGAGAGAAAAGTTGGTTTTAAATTTTAGAAAAACGATAAGTATCAAAAAGGCGACTATGATGTTTTGACCACAAAACGGGATATATGTAGGTTTGTAGAGGAAGGAAGTGGTGTATATATTATCAAATTCTGTTGCGTACCGTGAGAGAAAATTAAAGGTAATCCCTCTTTTTTTAGACTCTTTTAGAAATTTTTTTTATTTTTGAGTTAAATGTTCTGTATTATAGAGTAAAGTGTCCTCTACAAAATAAGACCGCTTCCAGCTATCCAAGGCCTTCCGTTGAGGAGATACAAATTTTTTAAAGTTTGTTACTTTACGCTGAAAAAAACCTACTTTTTTACTTGCAAAACGTTTTT